CCCTAATCCTCTTCCGTACCTCTGGGATTTTCACACAGCTGCATAAACGTTAAACAGAAAACTGGTTAAACAGAAGTGTGAGACGGTCGAGAATTTACGCCAGTGTCCTGTTATATTTTAGATAGCAAGGAGCAGACGGCCGAGTTTATTAAACTCCACCGACATAAATAGCTAAAAATAACCAGAAATAAATAACTATCTTTTTACATCATCCTCACAAAACAGAAAGTTTCATCTTTGTATAAAATTAGAAAAAAAAAGGAAAGGTATTCTTCTCCCTTATTGTTTGCTAATGTTGGCCATATGTCTTATTTTCAATGATGAATAAATGCAGATTTTAATAATGTGAGCAGCAGCAGTAAATACGGCTCTCATGAACCAGGTAGAAAAACAAACCAAATTTATTTTGATTTATTGTTTTCAAAGTAAACTTGACACTATTTTATGCTAAAACTTTTCAGTGTGTTTCAAAACTTAGACTCTTTATTGCAGCGTAACTGTGAGGCTGATAGGACAAGTGTATTTTAATATGAAAATCCTCGCCAGCGCAGCTTAATACAGGTGCACCAGATGCAGTGAAGCTGAAACGGGCAGAAGGAGGAAATGGGGGTGTTGCACTCAGAAGAGGAAGACAGTAACTTTCTGTCCCTTTCACCTTTACTGCACAACAGCAAAACTTTTTCAAACAACACAGCTCGTGTTTCAGTAACCTCTCAACAGCCGTTATCATTCGGGGATCAGTAAACCGCGAAATCAAATCAGGGCCTCTATCAGAAGACTCCTGAGTCTTTATCTCAAATTAAGAAGGTCTTCTTTCATTAAAGCTCCATGTCCTTGAACATGAAGTCCCAGAAAAACAATTGTGGTTTATAAAAATTGTCAATTTGATTCTCTTTCCCCTCTTTTCCTTTCCTGTCAAGCTGCCGGACAGCCAACCACATTGTGACGCTCGACTGACAAGCACAAGGTTCAAAGGAAGAACCCCCCCCCCATCCCTGTTTTAACCTGATTATCTGCAAATCACGTCCTTCGCAGCGTGTCAGAATCTTTGCATCTTCTGCAGTTCGATAACCATTCAAGATTCATCATGTGGCCGAAATGTGGGGGGAAAAAAAATCTTCATATGTGTGTCATCTGATGCATGAGTGAAATCTGGATTTGATTGGTCCTCATGCCACCACAGACTGTGTTTCATCGCGCAGCAGCGAGAAAAAAAGACTGCTCTGAGGCGGCAGCCATGTTGAAAAGAAAACACATGTGCAGATGCTTCAAACACAGGTAGATGATGTTGATGCCCTGTACTGTCTGAATGAACACACAACAACAAACAAGGTGTTCAAAAATGTGAATTATTGCCAGTATATTATATCACTTTTTATCGTTTAAGAGAGATTTTCTTAATTTGGAGGGATAAGCATCCAAAAACTGGAAAGAATAGATTATGTGGTAAGGCAGCTAGGCAGACAGAGAGCCTAAACAGGTTTAATCCGAAACACATTAATAAATGTATCCTCCTTCAGTTAAGTGATAAATTACAGCAAACAGATATAGAAAGTGCAATAAAGGTGACTATTTAGACTCAAATACAATATAGAGCAAGCCACTATTTTTATCCTTTGGCCCTTGCAGTGACCTCCAGTGTCTCTTTTTCTTTACAGAATAAAATTAGCTTTGAGTATAAAGACATAGTATGGATGTAGGTTCATCATTAGGGCAATAACAGGACTTAAAAGCTGGTTTTGTGCTTTTGGGTCACAGCAGGTTGCTCCTCTTCCAAACTATCAGCTTGGAAAGTCAAGACTTCAATGTGCCTTAGGAAAGCAAGGTGATGCAGGAAAAAACACCAGCTGTATGATGGTGTTTTATTTCTCCTTTATTTTATGTTGTTTTATTTTATTTTGTTGGAGGGATCTGGCCAAATTTTCAACTGCAGACAAGAAGGCTGCAGCTCTCCCTCACATCACGCTTTATTTTAGTTGATAAGTACTGTTTATTTTCACTTAAATTTGATTTCATAATTCCCCCGCCTCCCTTCCTCTGTGGTTTGCAGTGCTATAAAAAATGCAAAGACTGGAATAAAATTAAATAAAGCGTGTGATGTCTACTTGGTAAAAGACAGATTATGTATACTGCAGGGGAAAATTTCATTTAATTTGGATGTTTTATTCTAGAGTGATATAGACTTCTCTATGCTTTTAATTGAGGTAATTTTGATAATGGCTCAATGATAGAATTCATTTATACCTTGAAAATTTAAAAAAAAAAAATCACTAATACACGTTATTACTAGGTAAAGAGCAAAAATACTATAAACATATACCAGCAGCAGCTGCACCTGTGCAATATTTGGTTGGATGAAAACTAAAGATTTGTGGCGCTGGCTGCACATTTTCAGTCACTTGCTTCTTTTTTAAGGTGTATGAGAAGAGCTCTTCCTGTTATGTGTTGTGGATGTAATGAAAAAAAAGTGCACGTTTAAGCCTAAAACCAAATGATTTGCTGTATGAAAGCAAACTAGCAAACAGCCTCCTTTTTCTCCTCCTGAACTGTGTCCTATAGCCAAGCTTCCCCTCTGGGGTCATCTCTTGATCTACAGTATTTTTAAACTTCTGTTATGATTGTGTATTTTTTTTTTCTCAATTTAGTTAACGAATAATTGTCAAGCCCAGTCTCTTATAGCGGGATCTTTGAGACGGAGCTCTATATTCAGACGGTCTTCTTATCGCAGGATAGTTGGGGAATGAAACCTTTTACGTCTGTTCTGTATTTATTGTAATATTCACCTGAGCACTATGCGAAATATAGATTAATTTGATGTTTAAATGCATTTGCATTTATAGCATACTGTATGTTTATAAATAAAATGTTATACATTAACGCCCTGCTTCTGTCTGGTCATTTTGCAATAAAAATAAAGAATAAAAGTAAATAAATGCTTTAAAATGTACATTTAGTGAGATGCCAGTTTGTTAAAAGTGTCACAAAGCGAAACTCTTCAGGTTTGGAATCATGAATAAACGGACAAATATTATGCTCAGTCATTTCACCTGTAATCACAGCGTATTTTTTGTCCTTTTTATGTGTCATGTGACTCCAAGAACAAAAAGGCTGACCGTAACCAATTTTCGAGTGTTATTTAAAGATTTACATAGAAATTGTTTAAAATGTGTCTTCCTATTGATAAACTATCAAATAATATAATAGCTCATTCTAACCCAGTGAGAATAGAAACCTCTTTTTTTTTTCCATGTGCGTTTTTATGACAGCACCATAAATTTCTAATGATAAAACACAAAAAACCCGTCTGTAGCTTAATGATGTTTTCAGGTGATAATAAAATAATACTCAAGTTGGGTCGGAATAAACCGAGAATAACGACTCCGAACATTTATTTGGCCTTAAATTCAAAGAGGTGCCTATTAAGGTCCTGAGTTTTTGATTAGAGTGCCTTTTTAAAATGTGACTTCATAAAATTAAAACATTTACCTCGATGGACTCTCTGGCTTATACATGAAACGAATTCTTTGTTCAACAAACGGATTTGCGTAGTATTTTTAATCTCACCTAAAATCTGGTAGCGATTATTCCCAAATTGTGCCTCGAGTCAGAAAACTGGATTCCACGGATGTTTTTTAATAAAAGAAAAAGTGTCAACCAGTTTGTTTAACTCCTTATTTACCATTTTAAAAATAAACCTGATTGAGTTTCATTTCTTGAAAAATAATTAATTTGTGTATTTTAGTGTAGTAAACTACACTAAAATACACAAATTTTTCAAGTTCGTATACAATATTTCCCCCGAATTTAAACATTGCCTTTTAATAAGAGTTCGTTTCTTGAAGAAAGATTGACTGACTTTGTTTGTTTGTCTGTTTGTTTGTTTTTAAAGAAACATCCTGATTTCATAAATTAAACTAAAGGCCGGATTACCTTCTCCCATTCTTTTTCTTTTTCCCAAAAGTCAATCGGAAAGAACGAATTCTGAAACGCCGCGGTGCTGTCCGTGGTGCTGAAATCTTCGCCCTTTTCAAACCATAGTGACAAAATATGTTTTTTCAAAATTGTTCAAGAATCGTATACTACAAAAAAAAAGAATAATAACCGATCATTTCCACGATTTCTTTCCCAAAGAAAAACATGACAAAAACAATATGGACTATTAATTTTTTTTTATCATCAACAATCATTTCAATGGTACACCTGGAAAACTATGTGCACATGTAGAAATATTTCCTTCTTAAATATAAGCATTCATTACCTACATATAAATAACTTTCAGATCCTGGACAAAACATGTTACATAATGCTCACAAAATGGGAGGGAAATCATTGTAAAATCAGACAAAGAGACAACATGCAAATTATATAGAAATAAATACAATGTTTGCATCCATTCCCCTTTTTTACCCAAAATAAATTCTTCCGAGGGAATTTTGTAAAACATCAAAAAGACTTGTATGATCGATCTACGAGGGAGTATGGCCTATGGTTCAACTATAGGAGACAATAATACGTATTAACACTATACAATTTTGAGCCACAAAAACATTGCCGTAGAAAGACACACAAAACATACAGATTTCCTGTCAGAGGTGAACATTGCAGTAAGTTTGTGCCTTTTTTCTTGAGGAAATAATTGTGTTTATATCGATAATTTAAAGAAACTAAACTCTCAGCAGCCTTAGAAACCAAAACACAGCTGTAAGAGGCCACTTCCACACAGCAGGTTGTGTCTGCAGAGAACAAAACAGCAAAATGCGTCAGCGTCTTGTTGGATATTGGTTGTTTCATACCATATGTTTGTGGAAAGCATCCTCAGTCGTGGAGATTCAACGTCTCTGAACGAAACAAAGCATCTGATGAACACTGACATTTAATGTGACTAAACGAGGCTCCTTTGCTCACTGATGGCACTACGCCTTTCCAGCGCGGCGACGTTTGTTTATGCTCCAAATCTGAACAAAATATATTCATCTTAACAAGTCAAGTGATCCAATTTTAAGTATTTATTTCACGCTTAATGTGTTTTTAATTAATGCATGAATAATGGATGTTTAGATAACATTGGTGCACGTAGAAAAAGACCTTTTCTGTCTTATTTCTCAGTGTATTTCGTCCCGAGACATGCTTGAAAAGATTTTACACAACTTGCACTTGTTTGTAGAAAATAACTTTTTTTTTATTATAAGACGATCTGACTTGTCAAGATGGATATGTTTGCCGCAAACTGCCAGCTGGCCACAAGAAACGACGCAAGGCGTAAAATTAAAAGATAACAGTAGTAATCTTTTTTTCCTAACTGCTTTTTGTTGTCCTTAAGTCAGTCTTGGGCGATTGCTTTTCAGTCTCCAGAGAAGGAGGAAACGTATCTCTCTTCCCCTGCTCTGCTTCTCTTTCCCCGATGTGAAGCTTCATTAGAACATGCTGGTCTTTACTAACGTAGCTTTGGCTCCGTTCTGTCTTTGCAAAGACGACAATACGCTGGCGAAGGGCCCGCCCAATGAGTCCGGGATAGAGGTGATGGTCCCCGGTGCGGTGGCCCAGCCTTGGCTTGGTGCTGTCACTCCCATGCCGGTGGACACGGAGGTCTTCACTTGGTCCGCTTGTCCGTTCCCGGTGGTGTTGACTTGGCCTGCGGTAGGGCTCGGCCCGCCGCAGTTGGAGGTGGGCACGGGGTTCGGGCCCGGTCCTCCTGTGCTGTCAGGGTCGGTGGTTTTGGTCTCTTTGCTGTCTTCATCTCTCGAATCGGACTTTTTTCCAGAACTGGACTTGGCTGCCGCTGCAGCCGCTGCTGCAGCCCGCTCCTGCTTGCGGAATTTGGCACGTCGGTTTTGGAACCATACCTGTTTAGTTGTGAAAAGGTGGAAGTAGAAACGTTTAACGACCGTGACTTAAATTTCTAGAAGACTGACAAAACAAAGGGCGACAGAGAAGTTGAGTTCTCTAAATAATTTTAGTCATATAAAGACGTTTTAATATCTGAAAGCCTCAAAAGAAAGACGTTGTCTATTTTGCCAATGTGTACACAGCAGTAGTACTCAGCACTTCGCATTGTGAAAGCAGTTCAACTTTTGCTTAAAATCTAGTGATAATGATTGATTAGACCCAGTATTTTGAAATAGTTCTCATTTGCATCCACCAGTGCGTAACTGTGCGTAAAGGGAGTCGGTGGTTATGTACCTGCACTCTGGCTTCAGTCAGATCGATTTTGAGTGCCAGCTCCTCTCTAGTGTAGATGTCCGGGTAGTGTGTTTCAGCAAAAACCCGCTCCAGCTCCTTCAGCTGTGCGCTGGTGAAAGTGGTCCGGATGCGCCTCTGCTTTCTCTTCTCGTTCAGTCCCCCGTGATCCGTGAAGAGTTTGTATGGAACTGTAAATGAAATGTCATGGTTACACGTGCAGTGGTCTTATCGGTGCAGTAATGGGGAGATATGGGGGTGTGTAAATGTGATGTTGTCAAATGGAAGTAAATTGAAATTCAATATTTTGTTTAAAATCCGGTTAAGGACGCTGGGCTAAAGCTTCCAATTGTATTATGCCTTTGATTACCTTTGAATTAGTTCAGAACTGATAACGTTGCAGACCTGTGATGGGGTTAATTGTAATGTTAAACTAATTGTTCTCCTCAGATTGAGGCTCAAGTTTGAAAACTTGTCATAATGTTCCCATCCGCCCCGCTTGTTGCTACTGTAACTCCAATTCGGTGTCAATAATGAGCTTTAGTCTTTGGTTATCTAATTATTTTCGAAGCTTTATGTCTCATCGCAAAGTAAATAAATTATGCCTATCATTTTGGCAGCTTAAGATAATTCTGTTGGCGGTTTTGGGTGTGACTGGGATAGTATAACCCCGTAACCGAATTACCGCTTGCCTGCAATCGCTTCTAACGTGATAAATTCTTTCATTTGTGTAAGCAAATTTCGTTTCGTAAATACTAAACACATTTCCATTTTCAAATGCAATCAAGGCGTCCTATAATACACCGGGTTGTGGCTCTGGAGCCGCTGCTTACCTGCGGCGTACGGGCTGCTCTGGTGGTCCCGCAGGGTCCCCAGACTGCAGGACCCCGGCGTGAGAGACGGACAGCCGGAGGTGGCCCCAAAAGTGGTCCTGATGGGATTGTACTGAAACCCACTGGCTTGACTGCACGAACTGAAGTCCGCATAGGCCGATGCCAAGCTCGAAGTGTCCATCCCGGCCATACATGACTCGTAGGCAGAGGAATTTAGGTAAGAATACTCCATTTTATACATTTGAGAAGGCTCGGTAGAGTTAGAAAGCTGCACTTCCCTGGAAAAAATGGCAAACAAAAGCACCCAAAAAATGGGTCTGAAAGAAAAAAATAATAAAAACAAAAATGAGGAGGACGCGCGGTCTGAGTTTGGGGGGAAAGATTACTTGTTTGGTTTGAACTGATTGGGAAAAAAAGGCTGGACGGTGGGTAGATGTTCACTGCTCAGCGCCTGCTCCAAAACTGGCCTCCTTTATAGGAACCTAGCCCTGTTTTATGAAAAGCCCCCTAAGAGCCGCCTAGCCCGAGGTCTCTAGAGCATATAGTCCTCATAATAAACTTGGCTCTTTCCGCTTGGACAATAGCAAAGCGTTTGGTCTTATTGCTAGCGCTTTTTTACATGACAATAACTCATCAGTCTATTGGGCTGGCACTGGGGGCCCGGGCTGTCCAACCTCCCTATCATTGATCCCCTGCATCTCTAATTAGAATTTAATACCTCGCCATTACGCACCCCTCCACCACCACCGCCGCCGCCGCCCACCCCTCTACCCATCCACCCCACTCCTCTCCAACCACCATCTTGCCCTTTAATTCAATCACACCACTTGGAAATAATGAAAGTTGGGTGACGATTCTCCCTGATCCAATTTTCTCCAAGCTTTTAAGCCTTTTAAGCGACCGTATACCTTGGGCAGGATTTCACATAGTATTCCCCCTCTACCTCTTCTTTCTGCCCGTCTGCTCCGACTATTTTCACTGATCCTGACTCTGGTCTTCTGCAGTGAAGCCAAACGTGTCGGCTTTTATCTCTTATAACCATCTATATTTTTATTGGGGCTAAACAATTTGTTACAAAAGCACCTGGTTTAATTTTTTTAATTACCTGTTTGTATCAACTTTAGAGAAAAAGAAACGAGATATGCATTCACGTATATGATTTTTAAACTGAATGTGTGCTACCTGCACGCAGTATCGCCTGTCTGGATTTCTTCGGGTTTTATTTAACACGAAACTCTTAGACACAGCTCGATTTTAAATCCGGACAGTATCATTTGTGGTTCACGACTTTGTTGCTGTTATTAAGGGGGGAGGTAGAAAGAAAGATAGAAATTGTCTCCATGGGCTCAAAGCCCAACGTGTTGGAATTTATGCGCGGTAATAAACGTATTTTCCGGCTTCGATTTCATACTAAATTTCGCCTTTTCTGCCAACATTTTTCCAAATCTTTTCCTACACAGCTGCAGTATAATCTCCCCGAAACTTCCGGGTGTATTTTTATGATTCAAATGAGTTTGTAATTGTCTTTATTACTTTCATTATTCCGTTTATTTGGCAAATAACATCTTTCTAATGAAAGTAACGAACTGGCGAGGCAGTCATCGGACCTCTCAGGCTCACAATATTGGCTGAGTGGTTAATTTGGTTTGCGTAATAAGGTGAACCATTTTGTATGGCTCTTACACTCTCGATGCGTTTCTTCTTCCTCTTTTTTTTCCACTGGACCGAGTTCAAGTCCTCTGTTGAAGCAGCGAGTTTTCCCTTTCAAATGATCGAAACACAAAAAGAAGAAAAAGCAATTACGGTGCATTTATTAAATTTAGCACATAAGTGTTTGATTATTGAATTTATTATTCTGTTCATGTTTGGGTGATTGATATGAGTAGTGGCCCTACATCGAAGTGTTACAATAATATTCTTATAATAATCTGAGGATAAAATGATCAATAGAGTATGTTAGTATTTTCTATTATTATTATTATATTGAGGCTATCAGCTTGGACATTACATATTACAAACTTTTGTCTTAAAACCTATAAAACGTCATCATGAGATTTTTATGGATCTTTGTTTCTTGTAACTGTAGTACCTCGGAGATATTTGATTTTGTCATGATATTGAGTTTTATATACAATAATTTTTATGGGCTGATATAAAAACAATGTAGACGTTTACTAGAAAATGCTAGCAGGTCAATATCTGAAGACATAAAGATTTCATATTCTAAATAGCTGCACTAAATAAAAAAAAGGTATATTACCTATAGCTATATATTCTTATAGACTGTGCACCATTTATACCTCCATGACATAAAATATACGATTTTATTTTTTTAATTGCTGCCTTTTAGTAAAAATATTGACTTGCTTTGTTATTTAAACTGAAACAGAGGTGAATATGAGGCTGAATGTGGCACCGAACACAACAAGGTGCAGCTCCCGCTAAATAAAAAGAAAACAAAAATAGAAAACCTGCTTGCTTTCTGCCATCAATTATTTTTCTCCACAATTGCTGACGTGTTGCAGTGTGTTTCTCCCTTTTCTTCCTTGTGTACATTGTCTTCCCAGGGATCAATGAGAACAGAAAAAAGTTAATTCTTTCTTGACACAACCCGGTCCCTATTATGTAAATGTTTTCTTTTTTTATTTTCTCTTTCTACACACGAGCTGGGACCCAAAAGTTGTACCAAATGGTTAATTTGATTATTGAAACCAAAGAGCCAAATGGTTCACCGTCCTCCCTCCACGCGTCTGGCAGCGAGAAAAGAAACCATCTCTGGGAATTAATCTAATAACGCTCAAAGAAACGAGAAGTCTTTTCTGATATTTCGCCGAGGCAAATACAATTATAGCTTTTAGCCATCGGTTTCTTTCACTGAAGCTGCTCTTTATTCTTGTGGTCTATAGTCCCTCCGCCATAGACCAGCTATTGAAACGCCTCCTTTTTTTATAGTTTCAACATCTTTTAATTCTTTCAGCTGGTTCGGCTGGCACCCAAAGCCGCAGTTTGATTTTGTTTTGATGTGAGAATATAAAATCTGAAAGGAGAAAATCTGCAATGTGAGTTGACTTCAATGACTTTTGAAAAGATTTTGCAAGATGCAAGACGTGCAGTCAGCTTTTATGTGGATGCACAGGGTCTGTTGGCTGCAGGTTGAAACACTCTCCATACAAAGCACCTTTTCCAAACACAGTGAGTGCGGAAGAAACAGTGATTTACACTAACATAATTGTCCTTTAATTCGTAATTACGGTGCAAATAAAGGGCCTCAACCATATGTATTCACTTAAATAAATCAGGAAAACGCGATGTGTGCAAGACCTTAAATTCCCTTGGCAAGTGCCGGACAATAGAAGGGATATGGGAGGAACTCCTCTCCATTTAGTGCACACTATCGTTGCTCAGCAATATAGGAATGCGGGTCGACAGGAGGGACAAAAAGTGGAACAAAATGCCATTGTCTCTGGATGGATTGGATGGATCCACTCCCCTGAAAAGGCAAAGTAACAGAGGAGGATAAAGAGAGAGAGAGAGAAAGATGGGAGGGTCCCGCTGTCACATTTCACCTACAATGTCTCACTCCTCCGCCCGAGGAAATCCTACGCTTATCAAAACGGTTATTAATAAGGCCGCGTGTTGCAGGGGAGGGGCTCTGGAGCAGATAAAAAATTCATTTTGGGGACGATTTCTCATGGCAATTTAGTCTGATGTCTCAATTTGACGGGATGGATAGAAGGTCTCCCTCTAGTTGCAAAATGCGTGAAAAATATCTGAGAAAAACGATTACAAGATGAGAAAGGAGGCTTTGCTACATCTTTACACTAATAATTCGGGTTATTATTAATGGGCGGCAATTATTCTGTAATAAATCACGTTCGTGTTGGATATTTTGTCTAGGTGTACTTCCTTTTCACCATGTAAAACTGAACATCGCAAAGTATGTTAACTCAAAAGGATGGGTTGGGGTGGGGGGAGTGGGGGGGGATCAAACATCAGACTTTAAGGTGTTCCAGGCTGGTGCGTAAAAGGCGCATCGCGTTTCCAAGCGCACAGATGGAAAGTGACATCTGGGAAAGAGGCAAAATTCAATTAGAAGCTGGTGTCTTTCTCCATGTCTGCAGAAAAAAACGTTCAGCCAGCACAAAAGACGCCAGGGATACAGCCTGCTGCGAGCAGGCTCAGCCTCGTGTTGTTGTTTGTGTATTTTGTATTTTTATGTGCCTTTACAGCTTGTTAAAATATATGAAATAAAATCACCAGAGGTCACGGAGATCGTCAGATACAGTAAAGGAGAGGAAGGGAGGGGGGGAAAAAATCAACTTAGCGCCATTTCATCTCGCCTTTATGGGTTTATAATGATCACGTAATAAATTGTGAATGTAACTGTTTTGAATTCGTGGACTACAGGTTGTGTTGTGTGTAATTTTTCCCTCTTATCTTACGTTAACTGTCTTCCAGATGCTGCAGCCAGCTCCAGCAGAGCACAGCTCGTCTCCTCTGGCCTCTCTGGCCCCTCTGAGCCTTTATCTGCTCTTCCCAAGTGACCAAGAGACCAGCCAGTGGATTAACATAAAAATCTTATTCCAGTGGATAAGATTAGGAAACATATTACCCTCAAACGCGGCCTTGGCACGGGCGAGAGCCAGGCAAGGAATCAATTACTAAATTACTCCAACCTCTAAGTCGACATTAACGCAGAGAAATGCCATCGACCGGTCCTGAAATAAGATTTCGCAAAGATGTGATCATTAAATCTCTTGCCAGTGTTCAAGAATTTGATTCATAAAATCGTCTGAAATGAGATGGAATTAAATTCTTATCGGAGCTCTTGTCATCGTTTCATCCCGCGCTGTTTAACGTTGGTCAATGGCCTTCATGAGATTTTCCCTGTAAATAAACTTGGTAATTGAATCCGCCTCTCCACGACACATTGTTTGGTTGTTATTAATTTATTGCAGCCATGCAGGCGGATGGATGGGGTATGCAGGCCGGAGTCAGGCTTAGAGTCAGAGTCAGGTCCCAGATAAATGTTTTAAGTCACAGACGCCGAACCACGTTGTGATTTAGACTCAGTTAAACTGCAACAAGCTTTTTTGGGGAGGGGGGCAATCTGAAAAATCATCTGTCATTTTTTTTTCTGGCCTCCTGCTTTTCCCCCCAGTGGGGTCAAAGCATATTTTATTTAGCATAGTCTACTGGCATTAACCCCCTTCCAACCCCCGCATTAGCAATTGACAATTATTAGCCTGAGCCTCATAAATCAGCTGCGTGACCCGTTATTATTGTTGAATTGAATAGCTGTTGGGGAAGTGAGGGTCAGTGTCATTAACTTGCCTCCCCTCTCACCCTCCGCACCCACCCCTCCTCTATCCTACACCACCCTCGGGCCCCCTGAAGGCATTTGGCTCTCTATACAAGGACCTGCTTGCTAATAATGCCGTGTGGTCGGCCTAAAAGCTTAATCACACATGCATTAAGCAGCAGACAGGGGCCTTTTGTGCGCACGTAGGTTTACTGGAATTAAGCGATTAATGGTCATCTGAGCGGCAGGCGACAAGGCGGCGCATCGAGGATGATGGAGCGGTTTTTAATGTCAAAAAAGGG